CACTTTGAACATATACACACACTTTGATGCTTAGAAAACAAGCTTATCTCTTAATTACAGCCTCTGGGATCCCAAATCACAAATTGAAAAGGTTATGTTTTCTCAGCGTTTTGAGCACGAGTTGCGTCGATGCAGCAAGCAGCGGCGGGAGTACCACTACCACCTAAGTTGCCAGATTTCTTTGTTCACGGCTCGTAGTTGACGTCGGCTGTGGACATACTATGGGGTTTTGGTTATTAGCTACTGAGATATAAGGTGTTTTGTCTAGAAAAACCCCCCACTTCGGCAAGCCCTCACTCTGCCATTTTGAAATTTATAGGGCTGAATTTTGTAACAAAAAAAACTTTTACACACCTCAGCTTTCATATTATTTGTTACTTTTTCGAACAGAGTGGTCAAAAACACAAATTGTGGTTCTTCTCAGAAATTTCAAATGCATCACCCTGTATATTTGTGCAAGTTTGGATTCAATTTTTTATAAGCTTTTTTTGATACTAGACACATAAGGGTTTTACAGGCTATTTTTTCGGTTATTACTTTTTTGGAACGGCTTAATTCCCTAAAATATCGCATCATCCTTGGAAACAAATAAATTTTTGATTAGTTACAATCTATCAAAATTAGCTTTGTGAGCATTAAAATAAAAACGTGTTTGAAAATGAAATAACTTTCAAGTTTGGTAAGTATAATCTGTAAGGTAACTATCAGTTGTCTGTAAATTCGATTTTCAATCTCTGATTAACTAACACGTTGGGTTTAGTGACGTCGATGTTTGTGTGTCGTGTCATCACGACCACTCATGTCAGTGTCAATCAAAAAAGGTTAGGAATTGCGATATAACTACAACTTTCTAGATAACTAGTAACTGGTCTTCTGGTTAAAGTTAACTACCGTTTTAGAACAAACCTAACATTGAGAAACAATTTTAAGAGTTTACTTCTGGTTAGCTGTGAAATCACAGTTAACCTGCAATTGAAAAACCGGAGCTGAGTAGTATCACGCTTTTCGGAAAATCTCACACTGTACAATTAGTCATCTTAAATAAAATCTGATACGAAAAATCTATCGACGTCTCGATAAAAAATTAGCCAAGTGACCGAAATATAAATGATCATAGGGCAGAACAGGGCGGAAATGTCCTCGTAAACAAATCAAAGTCGTGGAAATGTAGGAGTGCCCAAGAATGCGCATCAGTCACGTCCCATTATCTTCGCGTGTCTCAGATATGGAAAGAAATCGGATATTGCCGCCCCAGTATTGACGAAAAGCACCAACGGAGAAAGACAATACTACTGTTATGCCAAAATGAATAAGACTACATTTTTCTATAGCGATTTGTCCAAAAAGTAGCATGATATCGCATTACGCTCGAATTTTACATAAATTTTTCATGCAAATCTCAGCAATGCAATTTTCAATCCATGTTTTTTTTTTAGTCTCAACGTTGATCCAAGAAGATGTCAAACCATATGATGTACTTGGATATTCATTTACAATTTCCATCGGCACACCCAAGTTGCTAAGGATCCCAACTAGCAAAGTAGTGGTATAAGCTTTTGGTAAAAGAACCGTTCAGCCATAAAAGCTCTCTATTGTTGTTGCCTGAACACCGAAATGCTGGCTTAATGTTCTGTGGAATGCAAATTTGCTTTCTGCAACATATTTGCTCTAAAATGAGGTGTTTAAAATATTCTTATAGCATAGTTATACAAAACCTTATAGGGCAAATTTTTAACTGTTGCATAAACGTTTATACCACTATTTTATACGGCATATTTGCAAGTTAGTCAAAATTGTTGTGTTGTGGCACCCATGCTAACGTTTATAAAACAAACCCGAGCCTTGTTGCTTTGCTGTGCAATTTACTACATTAGCCAACAAATTGCTCCCAACGGAAGCACTTATACAACTGTTACATCTGCTAAACAACTTTACCATAACCTAACATTCTGCTGTCATATTTTTGTTAAAATGCGATAACCAATGTTTTAAGCCAAACAACGCATGCATATCGGTTCAAAAGGTTTTATCAACTGTTCAAACAGAAGAGATAGATCTGGTACAAATTCTGGGTAAATCATTCGACTCTGTGGGTATTTCATTTCAGACATTTGTCAAATTGTTGTATAACACCTGCAGGCAACACCAAAATATTCTAATAACCTAAAGACAACATGGACGATGCCATGATTGTACACAACCACCCGCCATATTGGGCAAACATTTATTCCTCTATTTAATATTAAATAATTATGTTTCAGTTCGAAATTACAGATATAAAGTGATAAACATTAGTGCAATTGTGTCTAAATATAGGATTTGTGGAAGATTTAACGCAGATAAGTTCAGTTTTCCATCTTAAAAATCTAGACATACTTTTGATCATTGTCAAAATATGAATAAAATACGAAGCCCGTAGAAATTGGGTAACTAATTTGCACGATAATCACAATAAAATTGCTGCGCAAGTAATTCAATAGCCCTATATCAAAGTGTAGAAGTTTATCATATACCTGTGTATGAAATTCACAATGGCCGATATGTAAGTAAACAAGATGACTGTAATGTGTTAGTTATATATTCTTCACTTCGTCTATACAATACATAGGAAATAGTTTGGTTGCAATAAAGTAGAATCACGTAAGAGAATAGTTGTATAGTTGACAAAAACTAAATCTTGCACTGACGCAAATGTCGTATAGCGGCTGCAAGAGGCTTACACTTTTGTTTTATAACTGTTACCTGCAGCCCTTATACAACCTCTTAAATGACTGAAGGGTCCTATTAGGTGTGCCCATTCCGCTTGTATAGCTGTTCTAAGAGGGTTTTGCTACTGTTCTTACAGTATACAATGCTGTTTAAGGAATACTGTATAATCATTCTTGTAACTCTAATAGGAGTGATAATTGTTAGTTGAGATCGCACTAATTCATTCATTCATTTCCTTTTAAAGGAGATTTCCTATCCCTAAGCATCAACCTTCCACGAAAGTATGGCCGATTCTTCAGCTTGCCTGGTAATTATTTCTAAGATTCCATATTCTCAGAATTTTTCAACCCCGCTAAATAAAATCCCATAACCTGCGTATACAGTCCAAGAACTGGCAACGCTGGCGCCTAAAGACGTTGGTCGACATGTTTTATATTTGTATGCCTTATGGTTGGCAGCGCCACTGTAGGTATGCTTATTTTCGCACAGGTACGGCTTTCAATTGGATTGGCTAACTCTTGGTGGAATACGAATATGTTGTTCAATGTAATATTTGAAGGTCCGTAACATGCTAGGATTGCGCGAAGAACATAAAGGGAGATACCTCAAAATCAGCACTAAACGAACATGTATGGGAACACAGTTCATAGGGGAAAATGAGAAAAGTCTCAATACTACACAAAGAGGATAACAATTACAAAAGGAAGCTAAAGCTATATAAAATTGAGCAACAATTGTCTTTCAAGTGCTTCTGTGGTCTGCAACCCAATTTAGTTGAATATCTTTGATGAAAGAATCCACGTGATATTCTCCAATCTAGTTTAGTTTCTTATCCAGGTTTTTTCTCATGGTTTGTTGTTGGATCTCATAATCTATGTTAATCAATGGCTTTACCTTGTCCTGGATGTGGATAAGATATAAAGAATCAGATAGATGCATGATCCATAAAAGTTTCCTCAGGTTAGTAGTTGTCAAAACTTTATGACGACTTATCTTTCCAACTTTGTTGATTTAGACTCCTGTATGACAAATAACTTTCATATTATATTTGTTGACTTAAGTGACAATGCGCGAAAGTTTTTGTTATTTTTCAACAAACGTCTAGTATCCTTAATATTTATGGCACCATCAATATAATTGCCTTTGTCCTCCAATTCAAATTGAAATAATTTGTTGTAATGATAGCCCGTTGGTTCCTTTTAATGTTTTCATCATCAATATAGTGCTCCATTATGTAACTTATGTCAGCTAAAATCTGTTCTATTGGTGAGTTGCGCATATATGGCAAATCTCCTAAGCTTTAAATTCAGGGTGTTTCCTAACTGAATGTTAATATTCAACGAGTCGACTTTTCGGTCTATTTTAAGAAGAAAACTTCATATGAAGGTATGTGCTAAATATCGTAACTTTTGAGATACAGGATTGGAATTTTAAATAATTCATTTATTATTAATATCTATAATATTACTTTAGATATCTTAATGAAATTTGTAATACATGTACTATGTAGCAAGAGACATTTCTTCGGTATTTTTTTTCTTTCCACCATTAGCGCTCATGCGGAATTTCATCTGCAGATATTGATGGTATGCCACTCACTCATTTCTGGACAAACTTAATCGATTGATCTTTTTCTATCCAATTTACGGTTTTCTCTTTCGGACAAAAACATTCAATAGTACAAATCTGCTCATGAGTGAATAAGGATTATGGTTTCAAAAAGACACTTCAGGGCCGTATCGTCAGCCATTCCTACAATTTTAGGACGCCTCTGTGGCCTCTTTGATTTTCATAGTTATCTACTGCTCCGTGTCAGCGCTCTGTTTTGAGGTTATCTTACAAATATCTATTTGCATCAAATTGTTCATGCTTTTGATCAATTTTATCTGCCTGAAATTTTCTGAGATTCCAAAAGAAAATATGGTTTCACAATAGGAGAGCTCTCACGCTGACACAGATCAGTAGAAATCTAGAAATACTTCAGCCTTTCTGAAGGAGAGAAAAGGCTATGAAATTCAAGGAGGCCATAAAGGTGTCCTACAATTGTAGGAACAACTGACGATACGACATTTGAGTCTTCGTATTTTGGGAGTTTTTCAGTAAAACATTGAAAAAATTACTTGAATAGGAAAGAATTATTGTTTATCATTTTAGTAGGCTATGGTTGTAAGAATTATTAATTCTGTTGTCAGACCAGTTGTCATTATTTTGTTCACGTCTTATTAATTTGATGGTATATTGAACAATTTTATGTATATCTATTTCAGTTTTATTTATAAACTATTTGGGATTTACCTTTTCATTAAATCTTCACCGTCAGAGTCATAGCCTTTCTCTAACGTGATTGTTGCGACATACCTGAAATAAAAAAAATATATATATAAATGCTTCTGGTTATAAAACAGTTTTTTTTCTCTTCACCGTATGCCAATACGTATATGTCAATGCCAACGTGTATAGAGACTAACTAGGCCAGCTGTCAGCCTACCTCTTTTCGCGTTGTCTATTTTGAAATTTGAGAGCACGCATCTTTTCTTTTGGTAGCTAGTAACAATTTCTAAGACCTAACGTATGATTTCTATAGCTTTTACGAATCTTAAAAATCACTTAGAGTTGTTCATATACCATGCCGCGCTTAGAATGATTAATCGCTCCAAAAATAATGAATACCTTTTAATATCTTTAAATGTAATAAATAGAAAAGGATGAATCGAGGCAGTGTATCGGTCGTCATCTAGCAGGCCGATCCCCATCTAATCACTCAATTACGCGATTATAACAGCCAGACTAGAAACAAAAGCTAGCTACAAATTGTGCCCACTAGATCGTTTAGTCTTTTATAACAAGAAGTCAATTATAAAATTAGCCGGATGTCAATAGGAGATGGACCATTACATTCGTCGATTAACGATATGGGCGTAGGTAAGTTTGAGATATAAAAGTAGGCGATTTTTTTTACGATCCTAGTAGGTTGTGGTGCGGAATGATGGGTGAAAACGACGACGATAACAGCGATCTCAGCGAACAAGGCAGATTTTTGTGTAAAGGTATTTTTTAAGTTCATCTAACAAAAGGTCTCATCTTGCTTAATAATCTCGACTATATTACCAAGAAAATAATTCGGATTGATAGGGTTTTCGAAGGTTGACGAAATACGTACTAAGCTTCTCACTGTTTTTCTCATTTTTATGTTGCACACAGTGAATTGAATGCATTTGATTTGCTTTCCTTTGGCCAACCGTATACAACGTCTTCTCATGTTTCTTAGCAATCAGTAGTAGGGTATAAGTCTTGAAGACATACCACAGCAAGAAAACAGAGCACTTACATTCTATGGACTCTATACAGGATGATTCTGACAATCATGTCACTATTTCTAGAGTTGAAAGTACATACATTCAAGAATAATAAAAAAGGTCTCTATAAACATAGGTCCTGAAATACCAAGACACAATGTGTTGTAAATTTCTACGACATGTAAGACTGTACAGGGATAAGACATGAAAATTGTTCAAATAGATCGCCTAGCAAATTTAAATTTCAGTAACTTTAGTGTATTTTCAAAGCAGAATAGATCGAAGGTCTTTATATGAATTCTATCCTAAATATTCAAAACAATTTTCATTTTTTCCAAAAGGAGTAGACTGGCAAAAAATTCTCAAGAGAGGCGATTTATTCAGTCCCAGCCATAAAAATGTTTGTATGTATTCTAATTTCTACACTCTGTATCCTGGTATATGAATTATTGCCGCGTTTTTTTGAATCACCACAAAGGAATCACTTAACTAAAAAGTATTTAAAAACAGCGTAAGAGGCCCATAATTTTGAAACAGCTAAAAATTAAGCAAAATGTTTAAACACCCTAAAGATGCAAAAAACAAAATTTAGATAATAGCCAAAATATTACCAACTTCTGAATAAAATGTTTGTTCCATTTGGAAATGTTGTGAAACCCAAAAGATATATACAGGGTGCGCCATCTTTTTGTCTATATGTAAACATGAAATAACTTTGAAAACGAAAAACTGATTTCTATATATCGGTTATTTTTATTAAATACAATTACAATTTGGCGCGAACACCGGCCCAGACAGGGACTTTCCGGTCATGCAACGGCATTTCGTGGACCTCACCGACGTGGACGGCCGGTTGACAATATTTTTTGTGTTAACTACACCTTATAAGGAAACAAATGCAGATCATCCTCCAAAATGCGCCGCAACGTGGTTCCACTGATGCCAAAATGCTGAGCGCGGTAACGTTACGACACTTTTGGGTTCTGGGCAACGCTGTCGCCGACGGATAGTGTTGTCAGACGGTGCCTGTTTGATACGGTATTTCCGACGATATGCACGTTGCGTTAACACAACTGAACGACGATTTTCAATGTACATTGTGATTATTTCGGCGCGTTGTTTCGGTGCAAAGCGATTCATGACTAAAATTGTAGTAAATTGACGTTTCAGAAACACGTATAACCAAATCACTCGGTTGGTAAATATCAAAGTCATTCGATGTTTCAATACCGACATAAAAGATAGCGCACCCGGTAGAAAGATGAAGCTTAAATATGGCTTGAAGTACCTTTTTTTGTAAGATGCTCTGCCGCATAAGCAAATTTGTTTTGTTAGAGAAACAAATTTCAGAATATCGAAAAATATCGATAAAACGAAGTTAATGAGGTCCTGATATTTATCGTTTTTCTTAAAATTTCATCAGAATCCGGGCAGTGTTTCCTCATATGTAGATGGGCCGTAGAATACTGGACTGCCGACAGACAGACATACTAACGAAAACGAGTTACATCTAAAAAACATATATAAACACACATATTTCGATATATTTGCAATTATAGTACTTCCTTGCCAATTAGCGGTGAAATGAAAAATATATAAATCATTCATAGAACTCCATGATTTGCTAGCTAAATGAAGCCACATAAGCATCAATTACTTTTATTCAAGATAGGTTTCAGGTGTTACATCAAAAATATTCTGATTACCATTTTGTTTTATTTACGGATTTTTAAATGATTTTGTTGCTTTGAAGTTTTCCTATTCTGTTTCTCTACATTCTTTAAGTCGGTCGTACTTTAGGATGTTATTAATCCTTTTAGTTTGTCCAAGATTTCTAATACTTTGCAATCCCTCTTTAACGCTTATCAATCTGCGGATCTCCTTGGAACAATTTTTGTCTACACAACTTTTTTGAAAATCCGTATTTTCTATTTATTATTTGTTGTCTTTAGTATCGTTGGGTAGACAAAATATACTAAGTGACATATAAATCCGAACACCCAGTTTAAATGGTTTTATTTTAATAAAATTTTGTATAAGTACTTAATGAAGCATAATAAGTAAATGATAAAAATTTCAAAATCATTGCACTGCTTTAAAGCCCTTTGACCTTTAATAATGTGTGGATGCACCCTGATGTGCTACGCATTCTCCAACGCGCCTAGGCATGCTTCTGATCAGGTGGTCAATGTCCTCCTGTGGTATCTCATTCCAGGCAACCACCTCTCTCGAAGTGCTTCTAGAGTCTGAGGAGGACGTTGCAAATTGAGCAATCTCCTACCCATCATATCCCACACGTGCTCAATTGGGGATAAGTCGGAAGATTTTGGTGGCCATGGTAACAATGTGACATCATTATGTTGAAAGAAGTCTATTGTGACTCTTGCAACATGTGGTCGGGCATTATCTTGTTGGAAAGTTGGATCTGCCAGGGTGTCAAGATAGGGTAAAAGATGGGGTTCTAGAATTTCGTGGATATAACGCTGCGCGTTCATGTTACCTCTGATGAAGATTAAAGGTGACCTGGAACCATAAGCTATAGCACCCCAAACCATAACTCCAACAGTGTGATGAACATGTCTTTCAAAAAAAAACTGTGGATTCCTCCTTTTACCACGTCGCCTTCTAACCCTGGCACGACCATCGTGCATGCCTAAACAAAATCGAGACTCGTCACTAAAGACAATACTGTTCCATTCCTGATCCCAGAGTGACCGTTGTCTGCACCACTCAAGGAGATTACGTTGGTGTTCTCGAGTTAAAGGGAGGACCCAGTGTGGCCGGTATGAAAACAAGCCAAAACTTCTCATTCGTCGGTAAACACTTCGCATGCCAATAGGTCTTCCGTGTTCTGCAAACCATTCATTTGCAATGGACCTGGTAGTGGAGAAACGGTCCCTTAAGGCCAATAATCTTAGGCGGCGATCTTCACGGTCTGTTGTTCTACGGCGGCGTCCAGTGCCCCTTGCTCTTTGCGTACGGCCTTCTCGAAGCCATGCCTGATAACACCTAACCACAGTGTCTACACTTCTTTGCACTCTAACTGCAATTGCCCGAAAAGAAAGTCCAGCTTCCTGAAGTTCCACTATACGGCCCCTATCAAACTCACTAAGTTGACGAAATCGTACAGGTCTCCGTACTCTAGGCATCGTAACCGATCGTAAAGGATGTCAAGAACCAAAATCCGCCAACGTTGATTCTTTACTGCGGCTGAAATATTCATTTTTAGAGCGTTAGTGAATTAAAAAAAAGCAGTATAAAAACCGGAATGTCCAACTGATAAGGCTGAAAATGTTTTCACTTGTTATTTACAGAAAGATAAATACATTCACCAACTTTTATTAAAATAAAACCATTTAAACTGGGTGTTCGGATTTATATATCACTTAGTATATTACAAAATTGTGAAGCTGTTATGCATTTCAAGACCCTTATTTTTCTTTAACTCTTTCTACTATTGGTTTTTGTGAAAATGATAAAGGGTCAGTCTACTTGATTTTATTTTCAGCTTCTTATTTCAGTTTCGTCAAATATCTCGGAAAATACTGCTCAGCTTCTGGTTGAATTTTTACAAAAGATTACTATCATGCTAAGGATGAAAAAGCCTTCCTTCAGTTTTTCAAAAAATACGGTGAATTTATAAGCGAAAAACAAAAGATGTCAAAACTTCCCTCAATGTCATCTTCCGAATTGTAATACAGAATGTGATCAAAAAATTTAAAAGTATTAAAAATTTTGAAAGTTTCTCATATTTGTATCACTAGTGGCGCATAGAATTAAGTAATGCGTAATTTTGACTGACCCAGTTTCTTTAGGCGCCTTCCTGCTGACTCCATCATATGACTTAAGCTTAGACAAGGCAGCCAGCATTTGCGACAAACTCAACTTCCGAGGTAGCTTTAGCCTCACAAAAACGGCTACCGGAATACTTTTCAAGTTCTCCGAACCAGAGGATTTCCAGCAGATCTTCCGGAAGGGGTTCCACAAGGTATCGTTAGTCCATGGTTTTTACCATGTAAGTTGTCATTAGAGCTTATGTGATCAGGGCTGCCACTACAACAGAATTTAGTTTTTGTACTGTACAGATGTCAAGTTATTCTTTTGATATATGTTATCTGTTCAACAAGTGCTCGAAGGACAAATAATTTCATAAAATTTATCTATACTCTCCATATTTCTGTTATCGTCATACACCATTTGACAAGCAATCAATTCGTTCCAAAGTAAAGGGTACACCAACAGGTACTTTGTTTCTAAATAAAACCAACAATTTGACATTATCAGAATGCATTGGAGTTATACTTTATCTGAAACACTGTGAAATACCGGGTGCGTTTTATATATCTATATTTAACACGCTCTGTTGCTGCAAAAATCGCCAAATTTCGCAGCAAATATCCCCCGTATAAGATCAAAGGCAGTTTCACCGGTCCACGTGGAGTAAAGCACGCCTATGCGTGGACATAGCCAATGAGAAAGCGTGTATTTCAGAGCTCCGAACAAGTGCAGGTGGCTACTGAAAATTGAAACAGTTTAGCCAGTGCCGTGTAGCGGTGAATAAACGTGTTTTCTTTAGTCTGTCCGTGTTTTTTCATAGATTTTATTAGTTTGTGTGTTTTTGACTTTTGAATACTCAGTTTACTTGTTCATTTAATTGTTGTGTTGATTGTTCTTGTGTGTCCTAAATATGGCTCTTTGGAGACCTTGGGAAAATGCTCCAAGCCACGAGGAGATGGTTGATGAACCTGTACAGGCAGAATTCTTTCATAAAGATTTAGAGGAACAGACCCAAAGAGTAATCCTAAATATGTATGATTGTCTGAAAAACGAAAATCCAGATTCCTCGCAAAATTAAATTTTAAACAGAATTTGTATCCTGACAAAAATCAGTCGGTCTACCATTTATCGGGTTATAAAACGGGGAGATGTAGTCAACCATTCCTTCCACAGAAAGCGCATAGGGCAAAAATTAAAAAGAATAGACGTGGGTTTTCAGGAAGATATTCGTCGTATAATATACGGATTTTATAAAGAAAATTTGGTGCCCACGTTGGAAATGATACGGGATAAATTAAAAGATTATCCTGAAGATTTTTATAATTACAAATGCTTAGACTCACTGCACTGTATTGTAAAACTGTGTGGTTTTCAATACAAAAAATTAGATAAAAGAATGGTGATTATGGAGTCGTCTCGAATCGTTGAATTGCGCCAAGAATTTTTGCACAAAGTTAAAATCTATAGAGAGCAGAAAAGAAATCTCATTTACCTGGATGAAACGTGGTATGATACCCATGATGTTGTGCAGTACGGCTGGGTTGACGACAGCAACAAGTGCATTTTAAATGCACCATGCAACCGTGGAAAACGAATCATTATTCTCCATGCTGGCAGTAAAAATGGATTTATACCTAATGCCTTGCTGTTATCTGCCCAAAATATCAAAGAATCATGTGCCGACTATCATGAGGACGTGACCTCCGACTTATTTGAAAAGTGGATAGAGCAGCAGTTAATACCAAACATTTCCCCAAATTCAGTGATTATTATGGACAATGCGCCATACCATTCCCGACAGAAAAACAAAATTCCGAATACAGGCACAAAAAAACAAGACATTATTGATTTTATGAAGGATAAGGGAATGGAAATACCACAAAAATCAACCAAAGCCATATTATTGGATCTTATTAAAAGACAAAAATTTGAAAAAGAGTATGTTGTTGACAATCTGCTTCAGCAAAATGGCCATAAAGTATTACGTCTACCTCCCTATTACTGCATTTTTAACCCGATTGAGTTGGTCTGGGCTGCTTTAAGAAAAAAAGTAAGAAAACATAATCAGACCCCTCAATTAAGTGAATCGCTATTGGCCACAATAAGAGATGCAGTATCTCATATTGCTGCCACAGACCTATGGAAGCAGTGTTCTAGGCATATTATTGAAAAAGAAAATGAATTGTGTTTTGCCTCCTGTAAATCCCGTTGTAATCCCTCTACAAGATGACTCTAGCGACAGCTCCGAAGGCGAGGATGATATATAAATACCTATAATGTAAGTCTTTATGTACCTTTTTATATACCTACCTGCTATGTAAATATTTGCCTATGTCAAACGTTGGAATTCTGTAATTTTTCCATTTCTTAACTTTCAGTCAACATAAATTAAACTCCCAATATAAGTATTTCTTATCCCAAATCAAAAAAATAAGAAGATAGTAAAATCCATTTATTGTGATATAAAAACATTATTATCGTTCTAAATAAATCACCGCACGCCTATGATACGTCATGAAATTACAAAGGACGCGCCGACCAAAGGTTTTTATGCTATTTCAAGTGACTTCAGATAAAGTATACATTGTGTAGATAATATAATCTACAAATGCTTCCTCCGCTGTTTCTAGAGTTTCATTAATGTTTTGGCAAAATTATTTATTTTATTTCTATTATTATTAAAGCAAAATCAAAGCCAAACCTTATGTTGATGACGGAATTTTGCTGAATTGAAGGTTAATTATCATATATTTAAATTCTTTTACACAGTGAACTGATAGTCAATTGTTCAATTCAATTAATGATCTTGGCAGCCCTGTAAAATCTTTTTTTCTTGTAAAAGTTGGTCTTAATCAATCATATTTTGTTTTGTAAATGTGGAACACATCACTTGAAGTGTTGTTTTCTTAGCTCCCTATAATCAACAAAATTTAAACCAATTTTGAATATTTCCGCATATTCAATGATTGAATCAAATTTAAAAAATTAGGAGCAAGGATTCTTTGGTATTTTCAGGTAACTGGAGGTAGACTGTATCGCAAAGTAGCTATACCCTGTAGACCTCCGAGGACGTTTTCTCTTCTGGTTCACGAGATACCATCCGATCTTCCCGAGGAGGATATAAGAGCTAGTCTTTACAGATACTGTTCAGTGGTAGGTGCTTTTTCAAAATATTTTTGCACTAATTAAGGAAATTCTCAAGGAAATATGTGCTATACTAATGGAAAAACTTAGCATTAGCAATTTGAAAGGTAATTAATTTACAGTGGCAATGCTTCTACAGCTTAAAGTTCGCCCGAAAATAACTAACAATAAATGGATATTTATCAAAAAATTTAGAAATTTCATTTGGCGTTTCTTAAAACAAAATAATGAAAAAAACTATGAAATGAGGGAATGACTCATAGGATGGGGGAATGATTTTTACATCAATTTGATGCTGAATGGCAATAAAAAACATAAGTTTATTTATTAATAGATGTATTGAGATTTGTTTTATACTTTAAAGAGCACATCCTCGTATTTTCATCATTTGAAATAACTGTTCCTTCTCTATTACACGTTTACAAAAATTGGATATTTAACCTATTTTGTGGTCGAAGTAACGTAATTATACCTTGAGATGTTTGTTAGTATCTGTCACTGAGTATATTTCATAGTTTGGAAACGTCTCCATTATAGTAAACAGATATGCTGGATCGATTAATTGATCTGGTAGTACGGCACGGATATTATGTAAAAAACCTATAAATCGTAAAAACCTATAAAAGGTCATCTTACATACTACGTAGTTTTTAGGGTGTAAACACTTATTCCACGCTTGCTCACTAGGATCACTGTGAGCTTATATCTATGGAGGAATGAGTGATTTGCTGTGTGAGAAAAGCATTACTGAATATGCTGCCAGACCTCATCTGGATGATTTTTTACGTTTCTTTTTTTGTGTTTTCAAAAACTTTGAGGAGAATTACAGGAAATCACCACCGCGCCTGCGTTATGTTTAGTTACTGTTAGCATGTACGTATATGCCTTGTAATTCGACAGTGTACAGTGGATATACTTAATTATTTCTTATCTCTCTAATTTTGGACATTCAGCAAATTTGCATATGTAATTTCCAGAATGAATAAGAAAAGTGGATGCGTAACTAATTTCTAGCTTTGAGTCTCAAGTAAATGTATTTGAGACAAGAATTCAATGGAATTACCGTGAACACATATTATTAGCACATAAACCCTCACTATGCACCTATGCATTGCCGTTTCCTTCTAGCTATAGTAAACAGATTACAAGTTAGACTTCCAGTAATGCCATCTCTGAAGCAGATTTTACATCAAATCAGATATTGATAACTGAAGCGTCATGACGTTTAGGCAACAATTTCAACTACAAAACGAGATCACAACGTGTCCACCAATGTCAAAAAAAATGAGATAATGTCACTTTTCAAGATTCGCAATACCTGTGCGGATAGTATAGCCACATCCTCGATATCGTAACAGAATTTCATTTTCGTACAAGGAATTCGAGGAAAACCCTACACCTCAGCTCTATTTTCCTGTACATTGTAAGCTGTCTCCGAACAAGCATAAGTGGGTTATTATACGTAAGCAAATAGAAAATATAGACTCTATCCAGCTCCGTGAGTGCCAAATGCCGATTGTGTATGCCAGGCACGTGCGGAACGCACGCGTACACAAAGTAACGGCACGTGTCAGCCACTTTTACGTGGCTGCACGTTGTCGTTCATTTGTTTGTTTGTCGCTTGCGCCAAACCGTATAAACTAGCCGCATGACTTCATTAACAACCGCTTCGGAGCGGGTTATTGTGTGAGAGAATTTCTTTTGTTCTTTTACACAAATGTCGCCTTACAAAAAGTGAGAACAAACTAATACTATTGTCTGATTTTTCATCACAAAACATTTACTCTTGGCTTACATAATTCAATTTCGACTAATAGACGAGGCGTAAACATCACAGTCCTGGGAGACATTTGTTTGTTAGATGCCTATTAACACGAATCAAGAGCAAATTTATTGAAACAATTTTTTTGAACTTAGAAAAAACTTTTTTGCTGCGGACAAAGTATAAAATATGTTGACAGACTGCCATTGAAAGTTTTTGTTTTTACTTCTAAAAAAGCCACCAAGGTAGCCGACACGTTAGGAAACAGTCAATCAAACATATGTGGTTTCATTGGGAGGCCAGGTTTTTCAGCTTGAGAACCACATGGTAATTTTCAGCTGTTACATTCATCTAATTGACTGGTAACTAAACTGCCAAGATTTTGTTAAATTATACTTAATCATGGGAAATATTTAAAGAAAACCGATTTTTCAATCTCGTTCTGTATCTCCTGTATATCCATAGTAGAAGAGCCCGGCAGGACATTTTAACAGGAGCACGTGATTATTTTATATGAATCCGGCAGATTGAACATCCATTCTTGGAGATCCTGTATATTATTCTGGCTTGGAATTAAAGTTATTAATCCACCATCTCAAAAAACAGATTTGCCATATTTTTGAATTATCAATTATTTTTAATTCCAATTTCACTGGACTATAAGAGTTTTTTACATGAAAGTGTTGTAGCTAGTGTACATAGAACTTGAGTTCGGGTGAGGCCCATTGTTAGCGTAGGGGGGGATGTTCAAATTTTCATAGTCTTACATGTTCAATTTGTCAATTTGTACCGTGAAAACAAAACAGTTTTAAAGGCTATTTTTAGACTTAGTAGTTCAGGAAACGAAAAAGAGCTTTGAAATAACATAACCGTGCTTTTCGGAAGAATGTACGTAATATTACACTTTTAAGGCAGGAAACACTTTTCTCTGTTTTTAAATATTTTTGAAGCACATGTTGATTCAAAAAATATATCTATTCACGCGATACGAAATAGCCATTTAAGCTTAAAAAAACACGTTTACAATGTTTGAGGCTACCATCTACGAGTTTCAAAGCCCATACACAAATTTTGTCACACATATCGATATTTAATCGCAAAGCAAGAAAAAAGAAAAAGCTGATACATTGTTTCTAAATAAGTTGGTGGAATTAATGTTTTGGACCTAGAACCCTACTTTCCTGGACTTCCCCGGTACGAAGCCTCTATCTAGTCTTCCACGATGAATTAAGACTTCTCCTAAAAATTGGCACATCCGCCTTGAACGTTATCAGGATTTTGCATCCTTCGGGGGGTCGAGCCCTTCGCCCACCCCGTATATACGCCACTGATCTAACAATTTGTTTTCAAGGTGGAGGTAAGTCGCATCCCGCAACACCTCCGCAACGACCATTCTCCACCAGGCAGCCCCCCGCCAATAAGAGTAACCATGGCCTCATTGGATGAATACAACTCTCTCCTACAGAACGGGCTAGACTTCTACGGCGCCACTTACTTTCCAACCGAACCACTTAAAAAAGAGCAGCTCAGAGGTAGTAGAGAGAAGCTGTTACCTGTCTTCGACTCCGCTGGCTTTACTAGAATACCCCCACCACCTACTAGAACGCTCAAACCAGTTGCCTGAGCCTAGGCAGGCTTTGGACTTGATAGGTGGAAGCTCTATGGCTGACCATACATGATAACAACTACAAACATCATTTGAAAAAGGTAGTTTCATTGGAAAGCATGTTTGAGTGAAAATTCCTAGTTTTCCAAAAATTGAAGTCTATTCAAAATAACTTTGCTTGAAATGCGTTTCCATATTAAATTTTCTTTTCACTTCTCACTGAGTGAATTACTCAAATAAATATGGCCAGCCAATAGGACTAGACATATGATCACTGAATACAAAAAATAACTTATTGACTGTTGATAGCTAAATATGCACATGAAAAAAACGGTACAAACTGAAAAATGAGATACGAATCTAGAAGGTGTTTTGTTATGTTTAGTTTGCTTTTTCGAATGCCATGGGAGCAGAAGCACTATAAATATTACTAAACTGTATGAGTATTTTGTACAATACTTTTTCAATGTAACACTGTTGAGAGATGTGCACTTTATTTGATATTGCAATAAATAATGTATCAAAACGGAGTTTTTTCATTGATCCACACCCCTTAGATTGAAACATCTCACTTTTCTAAGGCTTTTCTATACAGGGTGTTCCTTAATGATATGCGAATATTTAAGGATGTGAATCTAAATAAAGAATTAATGTTACTTTGTTTTATAAACTATGGTCCAAATATGTTTCCTTACAAAAACTCGGGGTGTTGAAGTTTTAGGAAAAAAATGGAAATTAATTAATATTTTCAGAACCGCTTCAAATATTTCACTGATATTTAGTACGTAGTTAAAGTTGATAGAGTTACATATTTTTCAATGCAAAAATAATTTTTAGCTTTAACAGTGGCGTGCGTACGGGTATTGACTTCGATATTTTTTAATAAAGAAATGGTACGCTATTGTTTTTTTGCAGAATAAATTTTATTTAAAAAAATTAAAACCGTTCTATTGTCTAACTTGGAAAAATTAAACACATTAGGGGTAATGAACAACAACAACTGACAACATAAACATAACATTAAAACCAACGAAATGATTACAAAAATTGTTGAAAATGGCTCCCTTCACTTAGTAAGCATGCTTGCCTCCTCCTTCTCATGGAATTGCGCACTCGTTGAAATATCTCTGGAATGTTCTTTATTCTATCACAAGCTGCAACTATTCTTTCTCTTAATTCCTCTACAGAGCTAATGGGACTTGTGTACACTAATAGCTTAAGATAGCCCCACAAGTCTGGGTACCTTGGTGGCCATTCTTGGGGCCCACCGCGGCCAATCCAACGATTTTGATAAATAGTTTGTAAATAATTACGAACCGCTACACTGAAATGCGCTGGTACACCATCATGCATGTACCTCGTATTGTTTCTTATTACTAACGGAACATCATCAAGCAACAAAGGTAACTATTGTTGAAGAAAATTGAGGTAAGTCTGTCCGTCAAGTCGTCCCGGCAATAAGAATGGGCCAATAAAGTGGTTGCCAATAATTCCTGCCCATACGTTAACCGAAAATTGGTGTTGGAAATGGGTTTCGGTTACGGCATAGGGATTTTCTTCTGCCTACAAATGATTATTGTGGAAATTCTGAATGGCATTTCGAGAAATATTAGCATCGTCCGTGAACAGAATCATTGATTCAAATTGCGGATTTTGTGTAATTTTTGAAGATAGTACTGACAAAAGGTCACACGCCTTGGAGAATCAATGGGAAGTAATGCCTGTACTCTTAAAATATGGTAAGGATATAACAAAAAATCATCCACTAAAATTCTCCAAACATTTTGATGGCAAATATATTAGTGTCTAGCGATCTTCCACGTACTCGTTTCAGGATGTTCTTCGACTTTGTGCAGCACTGCTTCCCCGATTTCAGAGCTTTTATTGTCTCAAGTTTCGCTTCAACTATGCAACCATCACCAGGAGTTGTAGATGATACTAAGGTAGCAACATTTTTTTTATTGACAAAGCAATACCAACTTACTGAGTTGATGAAGTCATAGCTAAATCGATATTATAAAAGGGCTGAGCTTACACATTGCATCACAACTAAAAAGTTGATTCAAATATTAAAATAATTGCAAAATTATTTTTAATTTTGTACGTAAATGTATATAAATACGATCTACCCTCAGTCAGTAAACAGATTATTTCTAGAACTGGAGAAATCTTCTACGCATATAAATTATGTAGGTTAAAGGGGAAATCTGGATCCCGTTTTCGAGACACCGCACACCTACACATTATTCTCCCTACTGAAACACAGCTCAATTTCCAAATCCACCCACGACGCTATCGTCTTCAATCCCGCCAGTGGAAGTTTTTTGTTCAATCGATTGCTACAGGGGCGTGTCAGTCTACTCATAAACAGATGAACACTCCAAACATTCTACTACATTGTACTCTATGTACTTCTACTAGTGCAGATTCCTGAAACAAAATTACACAATTGCAGAATAGTACGGCCTTGGTACCCGGCGTTTTGGAGTTAATCAGCAGGTGTTGCTGGTGTTACTAAACCGGTTTTTACCAATTTAGAGATTGTCAGCTACCACATGAAGGAACGCTCCATTTCTTTCCATTCAAGTCTAACTATAGCTCTACGTTACCAGAATACTACGTCCCCAAGCCGTAATGGCTTCCAGATCCCGCCTAGTCTCATCTTCGTCCCATCAGAAGAGATCAGGTTACCATATTGGGTGCCTTCACCTAGAGAGATATTTTCAGCAAAACTGTGGATAGGACAGATCGTACGGTGTACGTGACGAAGCGTATCAAGAATAAAATTGTATGCGGTTTTTTATTAATTATAATAATCATCTTTATTGAGCAAAAACATGGTACATTACGTGAGGCGAGATTTAGCACCTGCTATTCCGCCATCTAAACCCTCAAATACAACTTAAAAAAAGGAATTATATAATACAAGTGTAAAAATAGAACTTAAGCTAGCGGCTCTGTAATTCTTCTTAGCTGTTTTATTAAAACTCTGGATAGACTGGATAGTATTAAGGTCCTGGCCTAAGCTAGTGTATGATATAACTGGATTGTAAGTAAAAGATCTTCTGAAGAGTGTTGTGCGATGTATTGGCATGGTTAAGATGCACAGACCTCTAATCTAATTCTTCGCATTGTTCACCTTCCAAAATCATGAATCAAACAAAATTGTTCATATGCTGTAGCGTTGATGAATGTTTACTCTCATTTCTTTGCCCTTATTCAATTTATCGCTGTTCATAAACAATAAAATCGGAAGACAAATAGTATTTCTCTATGTGAGTACACCCAACATGAATAGCTACGTGAATAACCTTTCAAGAGAAAAGAATGTACGCCGAAGTATTGGTTTGTCACTTTGGTAGGCAATGGCAGGCCAAAATTATGCACTAAAACTACATAATTTTGGCGACAAACAATGCAATGCAAACACTTAGGTTTAGCTCCTTCTAATCTACTCGAATTGGTTGTAATTATAAGATTACTGTAAGAGGCGTATTCGTACACAACCTAGCGCTGCTAGATACCTGACTGCCAAGAAAGGCCGAAATGCAGCTTTTCGAAACATGAAATACAGAGATTAAATCGCCCTTCTTGATCAATTTACCTATTTTATCATTTTCCTCAAGCTAACTGCGTGGGGAATGATTGAGACCCCTAGTTGCCCCTTCTATACGACAATGTCTGTTCGCCGCGACCTTTCCGCCATTTCCATCTCCCGTCAATTTTTTTTGATTCCGCATTCGCAAAGTTCACCGTGGGGGTGGCAAGTAAGGGTGCCGGATTGAAGAAAGGGCGATATCGAAGCGAATGCCGTCGCGGTCCCGGGATGGATAAATGTCGACGAATTTTACGAAAGGTTACCTCAGGCACCTGCATAACCTCACTCTCGTCTCCCGTCACGAGCCGTCAACGCCGTGTCGCTAACATTTTAGCTCTGATTGGGGCGAGAACTTTACGTTTTAATGACAAGGCTATTTTGAAAGGTTGAAATCATAGGGTAGACGCATCCCTATACTACCGCGAGACATATTGCTCACTAGCTGTTATCCGCTCATAAAATTGTTGAAGTAACATTTTTTTTAATTGGCATAGGTTAAGCCGATTTTACATTGTAAAATACCTGTCTAGTGTCCAGTTAGAAAAGTCAAATATGTCTGAAACTGTGACAGCCCCATGTCTTAAACTCCATTCTTAGTTCAAGTCTACTCTAAAGAACCTCATTATTGCCAATTTTATATAAAATTGCCAATAGCCTTTAAAGCCCTTAATATGGTTCCTGCAGCGAAATCCGTGCGTCACTGACATTTTTTGCCTATAAACTACCTCCTTCTCAGATTGTAGCTTTCAAGTAGAAAAACAAAGGACTTTCGTACAAACCTGCAGATGCCTCTTTCTTATCTACATCCGGATCTATCGCACAATCCAATCTTATTTAACATGTACTATTTAGGCAATCCTTGTGCCAAATCTCAGGTCAAATAGTTTTTAACATACATTTTTATTAGCTTAAGTTTAAAGTGGCAAGGTTTCCCATAGAAATATTCAACCCCATCCTACCACATCATTATTTCTGAAATTCTCTTTGTTAATGTTTTTTGATGAACTTATAGACAAAACAAACTCCTACTTCTAGTCTATATTATATATATATACAGGGTGGCTCATCCATGTGTGAACGGAATATTACTCATAAACAAATACATTTTGGGAAAATCTATTTATGGGTTGTTATACACGACATTTGAGGGCACATTTCTAAAATATTGGCCGGATGCATATGTACTTCCAACATGACGGCGCACCTGCATTATTATAATCGTGTGCGTAACTATTTGGACACCTGGAGTAACAATTCTTGGATCGGTCGTTATGGGCCTACATCTTGGCCTCCTAGATCACCAGATATGACACCGATGAACTTCTTTCTTTGGGGCTACGTTGAGCAAGAGGTTTATAGATATCCATCATCTACCCCAGAAAATATGATGAAAAGGATTAAGGAGCAGTATTTGTATATTAGGTCTTGAGTAGTGATAGTTGTTTGTTTATGGTGTTGTTATAGTTGTTTTTCTCTATTACGCTTGAAGATGATTTATACTGTTCTGACTGTTATTAATTTTCACATCAAATCTGTACCCTTGAGGCAATATGGAACTAGCCCACTGTTTGTCTTTTGTTTCCATGGATGATGTGATCTTTATCCTTAATTTTCGTGTGTTGTTCTATTAAAAGCTTAATAACTCAAAATCTAGTGATTTTATCTGAATCAAACCTCATACCAAAAAAAGCTTATAAAAAATTGAATCCAAACTTGCACAAATATATAGGGTGATGCGTTTGAAATTTTTGAGAGAAAGTACATATCGCGTTTTTGACCACCCCGTATGATCAAGAATGAAAATTCGAAAAAGTAGCAAATAAGATAATAGCTAAGGTGTGTAAGTTTTTTTTTGATACAGAATTCATCACTGCAAATTTCAAAATGGCGGATTGAGGGGTTGCCGAAATGGACGGTTTTTCTGGAAA